CAGTGAAAAAAATTAAGGAACAGTATACACTATAAAATTTATATGAGGGGTTGAGCGCAATCGGTGGAAGATATAAGCGCCAAAATAAGATAAGAAAAAAAAAGTCGTATCGTACAAAAGCGCCAAAATCGTATCGTTCATAAGCGCCAAAATGGGATAAGAAAAATAAGTCGTATCGTACAAAAGCGTCAAAATCCTAGGTACCTGTGAGCCGTGGTTAATAGAAATTAAATAACAGATATTAAATTTAGAACTATATCACTCAAAAACTCCAAACGCTTAATCTTAATCGACAAATGTATTATCTGATTACGATAGATTGTCAAATAGACAGTGTGTAAGCAGTTTGTGTTATAACATATTGTTAGTACCTATTTCGTAAGCATTCGTGTAAGCGTCATTCGTTAAAATGGATTTTATAAAAACTGTTACAAACAAAGGTGTTGTGTGTATTTTATTTAAAGAGCAAAAATATTTATATAGTTCATATAGGTAGTAATTTATGTATTATTAAAATTACAAAGCTAAACAAACTTATTTATGAACTCTCCTCCTAACAATAAATTAAGGATATCTCACGATAAAATAATTGTACAACGGAAGAAATACCAGGATGGTGAAATAAATCGTATGGAATATGTGAAAAAAGTGGGATTAAAAAATCAACCAATTTATTAAATGTATTAAATATTGATGTGCATGTATATTATAGTTTATTATGGACATTTTATTTTTATAAAAATCAACCAATTTATTAAATTTATTAAATATTGATGTGCATATACCTATATTATAATTTACTATCAACATAATAATATTAATATAATATAATTATTATAAGATATAGAAATTTTTAAATAACTACCTACTTAATACTTATATAAAATATTAATTTTGGCGCATATGATATGTAATTTTTGCACCTTTAGCGCTTATGTCATATGTTGGGTATAGCAGGTATACAATATTAGATTGGCGCTTATATCCTACTGATTTTGGCGCAAATGATAGGTCATTTTTGTACCTTTGGCGCTTATGTCATACAGCCGAGCGCAATAGTGGCCTATTCCCAGTGCCGCTCTAACCACCAATAACGCCCTAGGGCAACAATATTTGACGCCCCTCACCCTCCCACCAAAAAATCTCGACTTCGCATTTTTAGCTTATAATTAACCACATGTTTAATACTTATTAATTAAAGGTTCCTACTTATTTTTTTAAATATTATTATTGGGATCATATTTATTTTGTTTATATTTGAACACCGATTTCATTATTCTGGGAACACTCGTACATTACAGAAAGAAAATATATATAACTATTTTCACAAATTAGTACCTAGATCTCATTATAAATCATACATTCTGCGTTTCTGCGTGTGTAATAACAGTGTAGTATAACAATCAACATTGTAAATTGCACAAGTGAATATAAGTGATTATAAAATTCAAAGGAGGGCATTAACTAGTTGAAAAGTTAAAGTTCAGTTAAAAAGTTAATTTTTTTTAACTTTTTAACTTAACTAGTTAGTTTATTTTCTAATCAACTTATGAACTTAAATAGTTTAATTTACAATTGAAATAACTTAGCTTTTCTCAGTTGATTTAAAAAAATCCATTAAGTTAAAACATTTTGAAATTGTTCGTTTATAGGTACTTAAATATTACGGATTTCGAACGCTCATAAAAATTTAATTTGACTTTCTTATAGACATTTTTTTTTTGATAAAGGTAGATAATTTTATAAGGAATCTTGTATTACATTTTCAAATCTTAGATTTAAAAAGAAAAATTTTTACGAATTCTCAACTCAAAATAATTTGCTAATTTTCGTGATTTTTCCATATTTTTCCATATTTTGTCAATTTTTGAATATTAAATGCTTATAAAAATAATTGTGACTAAGGATTTTTAATATTTTTCATTTGCCTTTGAAACAATATACTAATAGCCCTCTATTTAATTTTCAAGCTTTTTTAACCAACAAATACAATTTTATTGATATTTTTAGAATAAAAACTAAAAAAAAAATGGAAAATGAAAATGTCCCTAAACAGTTCAAATTTAATCAAAATATTTTGAAAATGTTATCGTGTATACAGAATGTAAATATAAACAACCAGTGAAAATTTCTTGTATATACGTTCATTTCTTTTAGAGTTACACCAAAAATCAAAATCGATTTTTTGGAAAACAGATTTTGCGTAAAAATTCCCGTTTTTCCTTAATTTTTATGTTGTTTTTCCCGGTGCTTGTGAAAACTACTGGGAAATTTTGACCCCCCACCCCCAAAGTACCAACTAGATTCACTTTCCTATCAGAAAAGATACTGTTGAAGAAAATCCAAGCACTTTTACTGTCCTAAAACGTGATGACAGACACAAAAATAAAAAAGGTACTACTAGGTACCAAAGATATGAATTAGTTTAGTTTATAAGTATATTACAATATAGTATACAGTATATTACTTAATTATTGTAATGATGTATATACATATTTAAAATATATTTCATGTGCTTAAATAAATTACTATTGTAATCTTAATAATCTTATAAATTATAAGTATTAATATTTTTATTTGTTTTTATGAATATTCAATATATTATTATTGAAGTTATGTCGCATTAAGATTTAACACATTATTTACATAATTGTATACCTACTTAATAGTATACAATTTGATAGATACTCATCTTTGATATTACAGTATAAACAAAAAAATAATACCTAAAATAAAAACACCAAATTTTTCTTTTTATCATCCATTTCTAGTACGCCCCCTAAATTCATAATACTTTAGACGCCCTAGGGCACTTGCCCCATTTGCCCCCCCCCCCTTGGGACGGCTATGCCTATTCCATCAAATAGTTAATGTGAGTAATACACGTTTTAAATTTCTCTGAAATACAACGCGCCATATATAGTGCAATCTTATAGTGGTGCCACCTAGTTATAAATAAAGAAAGTCGTAAATAGGTCGTTGTTGCATTATAATATTTTTAATTCTGAACAAGATTATATTATTATCTCAATTTATGATTTTCTGTGGGTTAGGCGCCACTATTGCGCTCCACCCCTCATATAATATACAGATTATTACTAAATAAAAAATCATAATTTTATAATAATAATCATCCTTATTACATAAATATACCCCAAAAAATATAAAAACTTAAAAATAATAATTGTTCGAATAAATCATAAAATTTCAAAATTGTAATATGTTAAAAAATAACGATAGACAATTGTAATAACTAATAGTTAATCAAAAATTATGTTATAACTTATAATATTTTGAACTGTGAACTAAAATTATGAGGTACAATTTGTAGATATTCAAACCATTAAGTCTAATATAAAACCACTATTCTAACTATTAATTAGTATTTATAGCTTTCTCTAACACTATAATTTAATTTTAATTTTTAATTTTTGAGTTTATTTCGTAGAGAAATATTCAAATATAATTTAGTTTTACATAAGGAAGCCCTTAATACTGGCAGAGTTTACAATCGCTTAATCGCCCACTTTCATATTTTTCTCACCCACTTTCCTACATCTAATATATATCAAACATCTATTGACTATTTATAGAACTAAAAATATTTGTATTAAAACAAATAACAACATTTATAGGTATTAATATGTTATAATATAATCTAACATCATGTTGGTGCACAGGCTCGTTACCATGTTTCCATGTTTAAAATTTAGAAATAATTTCTTCATACAACGTTTACTATAGGTACCTATTAGGTACCTAGGTATGTAGATTAGATAATTATTAATGAATGATTTAATACTTCAATTTAAATACAAATTTTTGGAGGGGCTAATTTTTAAATTAGAGGGGCTAGGCCCCTCCAAGCCCTCCCAAATTGCGCTTATATGGATGATATGGATTTTATATTAAACCTTTGCAGTCTAGTGCAGTTGTTCTCAACCGTTGTTTCGTGTTTAAAAAAAATTGTTTATTAATATTGTATGTGTTAAAAGTATAAATTTATTGATATTATGTATACGACCGTGACGGGCCAAACAACATTCTATATCGAGTATTGACATTGAACAGGAAAGATTAATTTGATGAAATAAAAATGAATGTAATATGAACAAAAATATCGTTGTATATTTTTACCTCCATCGGCTCCATCACTCGCATACAGGTCGGCGGTCACCGGTAGCACTACCGGCGACGTGTACGGTGTACCGATGCGTCTCGTAACGTATCGGTACCGTTGGCCAGCGTTTGTCGCGGCGTCGCGTCACCTCCAAGCCGGTACAGCGATGACGTTGCACATACATTCGCTCTGTCGGTGACTGTACCCGCCGTTATCGCGTCGGTCGGCCAGCCTCGGTGGATGGGAGGCGTGCCGGGGACGGGGGTATGCGGTTACGTGCACGACACTCGAAAGAGAGCCGTCGTGTCCGTCGGCCATATTTGTTCAAGCGTCGTCGTCATCGGCTCCCCTCCGCCACCGATATCGCCTACACCACCCCACCCCGCGAGCCCATCAGCTTGGTTATTGTGTGACGTGTGTGTGTCGGGACCGTCTGCCGCCGTGTCTGTGTATCATCGACGTTTTATCAAACGGGAGAAATAAAGAGAGAAAAAAAATACACACATCCACCCGCCCATTGCGCCATAGTCACCGCTGTCGCTGTATTTAGCTGTAACAATTGCGTCTTTCTCAGTGCACACGACAACGCACTTATTGTGTTTCCGCATCCCGACGACCCGTTTTCACGGCGCATATCACACACACACACGTCGCTCGTGATCGTTCCCGTCCCGTTTCTACTCAAAACGTAGGTATTATTGTAACTACGTAGTTAAGCGCACGGCATTAAATATTTCAATAACATTTCGTAGCAGTCGGTTTGTTATCACTCGTCGTCGTTGCCGTATCTACGCGAACGCCCCTAAACCTCCGCCACAAGCAATCGTCGCCGTCGTAGTCGTCGTCGTCTCTGAAAAACTTGCCAACAAAGCCTGACAACATGAGTCCGGATTAGTAAGTATTTCGCGTTACACACGATATCGGGGATGTGATTTTGTTGTTACATCCCATTGTCTGCCACACGGCCCACTTCAATGTCGTGTTCGACATTTGGACCGTTTCGTTGCTGATGTGTCCATTTGTGTTTTTAGCGATTACTTGTTCAAGCTGCTGCTGATTGGAGATTCGGGCGTTGGCAAGTCATGCTTGCTCTTGCGGTTTGCTGACGACACATACACCGATTCGTATATAAGCACCATTGGAGTGGATTTCGTAAGTTCAATTATATTTAGCGTACATAATGGCTGGCAACCAGAGCCTACTTGTTTGTGGCATGTACATATATTTACACTTTTTGATATGCCACTGAACTGTTAATGCACACCTCAACTGCCTATTCTCTATCTAATTTATGCTGATTTTTATTAGGTCTTGAAATATTAATTTATCAAAAATGATGGATTTAATATTCCATTATTTATAAGACCTTGTTTACTTACAATCATAATTAATAATTGCTTTTTTATGACAATAATAAATAAACTTGTATATGTACAGAAAATCCGCACCATCAAACTGGACAATAAGACTGTGAAGCTTCAGATTGTGAGTATTATATTCATTATATTATATAAATATTTTATCTTAAATAATAATTATGAGTTAAATTTTCTATTACGATTCTGTAAATCAAGATTGATAAAATAATAACTTTAAAAGATCTAAGTACCTACTACATTATTCTGAAACCCTAACAACCTTGAATTTTTTTTTATTATTTATGATAATTATAGGTCAATGATATAATAGAAAAAAAACATATTTTATTTCTATAAAAATAATAACCCTCAATATACCTATCCTAATTATCATTAAATATTTATAAGTTTATGAAAAATACTTAAGTAATTTATATATTTTACATTCTTAATAAGATTAACAGTTGTGCATAATATTACAACTTATTGTTTTAGAATACTATTCAAAATAACATATTTTTCAGTATAAATATTAATTTGAATTTTTTAACAGTTTTATAAATAAAATAAATTTTATAATGATAAATATCTAGACTAGTATATTACAATAAAAAAACACTTGATTACCAAACTACATTTGTTGGTTGAATACACACATAGCTATAGTTTTTTACTTATTCTCCTCGTGTCAAATTAATAGCTTTAGTATTTCACATTGAAGAACAATTTTTTGTATTAAAAAATAGGCTATTTTTATATTTTTATATTTGGTAAATGTTAACTGTGGTATTTAATATTTATGCATGTTTCAAACTATTATATATTTATATGTCAAAAAAGGTTTAAAGATCTTATTCATATTTTCATTTAATCATATAAAAATATTTCAACAATTTTTAGACTTTAGTGGGGTTTTTTTTCTAAAAAAATTTTTTACTTTTGAACACTGCACACACACATTGTTTTACTGATATATGAGCCTCTCAATAACATACTTGCTTAGATTTTAATTGAATTAAATATTCTAATATATCTTTGTATACATCAAATTTTATATACACAAATTATGAAAACATTTTACCTTATTATCAAACAAACTATCAGTAATATATTATATTTGATTTTTTGATATTTAGTGGGACACTGCCGGGCAAGAACGTTTCCGTACAATTACCTCATCGTATTATCGTGGAGCACATGGCATTATTGTTGTTTACGATTGCACCGATATGGAAACATTCACTAATCTTAAACAGTGGTTAGAAGAAATAGCTAGGTATGCATGTGATAATGTCAACAAACTACTGGTGGGTAACAAGTGCGATTTGCATGACAAGCGTGCTGTGGATGAAGCAACAGCCAAAGTTAGTATACATGTTAATTACAGGTCTACTGTATAATAGTCATAGTTTTATAATATATAGCAAAATACTAGCTAATTATTGTTAATGAATACAAAAGTATAAAAATAACAAAACTAACAATGAATGTACAAAAATAAAACACAAGATATTCATGAATGTTTTATATGCCCACACAGGAATATGCTGACCATCTGAAAATCCCGTTCCTGGAAACATCTGCTAAACAAGCTACTAACGTTGAATTGGCGTTTTTAACTATGGCTGCCGAGATCAAGAACCGTATTGGACCACTTGATGGCCAAGGACCAGGAGGTGCAGCTGATGGGGTTGGAAAAGTAACAATTGATTCAAAATCATCAGACACATCTGGTGGGTCAGGTGGTTGCTGTTAATGATAACATGAAAGTGTCATCGTAAGCATTGCAGCACGCTTGTGGACAACTTACTATCGTTGCTGATGATGAAGAACCGAGCCACAGACGGAGATAGATGATATATATATTTACAACTACTAATTAAAACAAAAATTAAGCCGGGGAAATACATTTTTGAATCCAAAATACATTTAAAAAAATATATAATAGGAGAAGTGTGCCATTGGCATACTCACCGCCAGTTCACCCCTACCCATTGCGTCTTAAATTATTATTATTTTTCAACGCTTTTATTTTGTGTACATATACATATTATATATTTTATTATTATTATTATTATTACCTTTAATTATTAATTACGTCATCGTAGCAGCATCAGTCGTGGTTTGTTCTTTATTATTATTATTATTTTTATTCCGTTTCTTTATATTATTATAATAATCATTAATGTTATTCGCATACAACCTCCTTCAACATACCCAAAACATTCCTACTACCTTCGTGCTCAACCAGATACAAAAAAAAGCTAGAAAATAATTCGACATCAACCTATTGTGATCTTGTCGATGAATATCTTTTATCCCAAACACAACACACTTAAACGCTGTTATAATTCAATTACATAGATTTGTATGCGAACCCTCCCTCCGCACTTTTGCACACTGTGTAAATCTTAATTTTCTAGAATTTACTAAACCCACTCCGCGAAACAAAACATTTTTTAAATATAATATACTACATAATATTATCTGCCTGCCAGCTAACAGTTAATTAACATATATTATCTGTATACATATGTATGTACTTTTATATATTATTATTATTATTATATATAGTTTTTTCTCATGATTTTTTTCTTTTTTTGTTACACGATTAATAAATATATATATATTTATATAATACAATACAATACAATAATATAAGAAATAGAAATTAATAAATGAAAATGACCGTCGTTATTTTAGTTTTATGTGTGTAGTCAACCTTGATAGAAACATAACTATACAATGACTACAAGATAAAACACTTAAATGCTAAATCAAGTAACACAAGGAACCTTTTATTTATATTTTATTATTAAGTCTCATTCGTTAAAAATTTCAAATACTTGAAATATTTGTAATATTGTCTAATGGTACATGGAGTAAATCGAAGGTGTTTAATGGAAAACCGAAATTGGTATAAAAATTATGAGAATTGTCTGTAAAAAAGGCGTTCATTAGATAAGAAATATATCTGACCGGTAACAAATTATATTAAATGAAGACTCCCTTTTAATAAAATAAAAGTAAAACACGAGTATGTAAAAAAGGCTTTCTCTTCACAAATATTATATAATAATAATAATAAATGTTATTGTTACTAAATATTAGGTAAACGTCAATTGGCCCCATTACTGCTGTAGTTCCTTAATAATATTTTATGATTTGTGAAAAAAAAACACATAAAGGGCTTTTACCACTAAAAATTGTTGTAGTCAAAAGGTCCCTTGAACAATTTCAATCATGTGGGTTACGCCCTTTCAATGAATCACTGTCAATATGAAGTTAGAATATGGGATGATGCAACTTTTTAATAATGTTCAATAAATTCCTAAATCCAACCAACAATCAAGAAATAATCTTATAATGATTTTTATTTAGTACTTCACTAATTAATAGTAGAAAAACAAAACTTTAAAAACAATGTTGATATTAGTTCTATGGAGCTTTGGGGATCTAAATAACAAAATAGTCAAAATAAATATTTATGAGTGCTTGAAATTCAAATTTTTACAACAATGGATATACACTCGATTTATCATGCAGCGATTTTCCTATTTTGTTGTAATTCAAAAACAAGTAACTGTAGATACATGAAAATTTCACTTAATGATTATTCTATCAATTCTTATACTTGATAAAACTTTCAAAATATTTTGACTTGGTTTGAGCTGTTTATGAACAATTTCATATTTCATACAGTATCTTTTATTATTATTTTTCTATAAATATCAATAAAGTTTTATCTGTTGGGTCAAAAAGAGTAAAAATGTAATACAAGGCTCCTGATTAGTTGTTACAATAGCAGTTGAAAAATATTAAAAATACATAGGCACAATTTTTTTTTAAAGATCAAATTTTGACAAAACTTGTCAAATTTAAAATTGAATAATTATTTTGTAGTTAAAAATTTATAAAATGTTCAACTTTTATATCTAAGAATTGAAAATTTAAAAGAAGATTCCACGTAAGTAGTTTATTCTGTTACCAAAAACTCTAAAAAGTACATAAGCACAGTTTATTTTAACTTTTTTGTTATATTGTTGTGATTGTAGAATATTATTTGTGGGTACTTAAAACTTCTAAAGTATAATACTATATATCTATGATAGTATCACGACTATCACGGTTTGTTATTGATGTATAACGCGTTATAAGTATCTAATGGATATTTTGATATGATTAATTTGGAATTTATTATAGATATCTGTTATAGGTCAATTTTTTTTTTTTAATACCATAGATAAGTATATTATAATGTCTTATACCTAGATTGACATACCACCTCCGCTCAGAATCGTTTTTCTTATACAATGATATTATATCATTGAATTCAAATTTAATACCATCCATTATACAGTGACCCACTTGTAACCTACTGTACAGCAGAGTGACTTTTTTAAGATGATATTTGCTATAAAATGTCTTAAAATTCAAACAATTATTCAAATGCAAGGTAATATAGTAGTTCATATATTTTAATAACAACTAATATAGTCAATCCTCTTACAGCAAGTTACGTAACACTTAAGATTTGTGTAGGTTGGTGACAAGGTATTAGAAATAAACTTTAAAAAATTCATAAAAAACTATTTATTAGAAACATTTATCACATCAACATCCTGGTTGATTAACTTTTGCTTACAATTCAAAAAGATTCACAGTAACTACACAGAAGTATTATTTCAAAATACTCAAAATAAAAAAAAAATATAAAAATAATAGTAAAAAAAAAACACTACTCATGGGTAGGTACACTTGTATAAAAACCAATAAACTAGATTTTTCAACAATAAAAACAAATGTAGTGGATAAACAACAGGAACTACTTAGTCTGCGCTTCAAAGAAAAGAAAAATGTCATTTCAGCGCGAATTTTTTAAATGTTGTCACACAAAATGTAACTACGTATAGGCAATATTATAATTCAATAACTTAAACAAAATATAACATGAAAACTAAAACTTGTTAGTTCGTAACAAATAGCACCGATCTTGGTAATTTTACTGTTTAAAAATTTTTTTTTTTTCACTTTCTTGGAGTGGTATCCATAGTAATTTCTGAAGCTCGACGCGCTTCATTTTTTCTGAGTAATGACACTACTGCGATTTGATCGGCTGCACCTACTCTATCCTTATTATTTGTTCCGAGGTTACAATACATCATGTTCATGTTCGAAAAGCTGGTCTGGAGTGATTGCAGTAGTGGTGGCCGGTGTCGGGTGCCACAACACCAACGCCAAACGGATAAAGCGTTTGCGGCGCCCGGATTTACTGTTCCTGACATGTTTGACAGATACAGCCTCAGATCTTCCTCATCAGCGGACCACCCATCTCCGTTCTCGATCAGCTCTAACACCATCAAACACAAAGATTGGACATCAGCTGCTGCGGCACTATTATCCACTAGAATCTTAGTGGCCGCTTCGAACCCTCCTAGCTTGTACACAACGCGGTCACCGTCCAAGGCCAAGTAGATGTTTTGGCGGTTGACGCAATTGTGAGAGTACATCTTACCATCATGCAAATAGTGGAGCGCGCACGAAATGTGTTCCAACACAGTCTGGCAGTCAGCAACGCTGTTCATGCGCAGTGACGACAGGCTTGATTGGCACTGTTCTGTTTGAATGTAATGGTACTTTGCGTCAGTCCAGTTGCAGAAGTATGAGACAATGTGCGGGTGTGGGCCAACAGTTGCTAACACTTTTGCTGTCTCAATTAAGTTATCACCTGCCGGACCGACGGCCGCAACACGCACAGTGTAAACGATGCCCTCAAACACTGACAGACATTCAAACTGGCCACAAACAGGTGACAACGACGTCAGTTCACCACCAACTTCTCTTGTCATGTCTGTCGTCTCCGGATCTGGGCTGGCAGACATATGGAGGTCATATTGTCCAAATGATCCACCACCGTTATCACAGGGATTGGGATTATTTACGACAAAACCACGAGCCGACAGAGAATCAATGATAGTCATATAAGAATCATCTTCTGAAGTCGTCTGAAAAACAAAGCGTTACTTTATAATATAAACATCCTGAAGAGCAAGTACCACCGTACGGGTGACAACAAAAATCAGTATTGCACTGCAGTATAAAAATTAAGTCACACTGTCCCAAATTAATTTTTTATTTATAGCCTATTTACAATAGAAATAATTAATTTTTATAAAATACATAATTAATATAATGTATCAAAAAAAAACAGATATGAGCATTTTCAATCATCCCCTCTTTAAACTGTGCTGTTTGTAAGCTAATTATTTGATTATTTCTTACCTTTTCTTTCATGACATCAGTTGGTTGAGAGTTGATGATCAATTGTTGATTAACAGCCTTGTTTACGCTGACTTTTTCTTCATCATCAAACACCAAACGTCTAGAAACGTAAATGCGTTTCATTCGTCCTATTGTTTCTGTAACACAAAGAAAGATATTATCATTATTAATTAGTAATTACTAGGGTTATGACTAATATGCAATACAAAATTTGTAAAATATGCATTTAATTTACGAAAATCTGCAAGAACCATTTTTTTTTATTTCTATATAGCATTTGAAATAGAGCTACCTACCTACTAATTAATAACCATTGGTTATTTATTATAATTAGTTATTATTAGTTATAACATTGCATATTGCTGTACCTAATGATATTATGTTCTATCAAATTTTGAAACACGAATGACCGTTGATTGTTACAATATATGAATTCAAATTGACTAAAACTTGTCGTATTAATGAAAAGCAAAATTAATGTTTAGATAATCCTGTCAGTCACCTAGATTGGATAGTAAATTTATGAAAATTCAATGAATAATTCAACAATAGATAAATACTCCGACAAACACCACTTAAAAATTCATAAGATGCTCAAAAATTGAATTAAGCAATTATATGTTAAAATTTAAAAATATGCAAAAAAAAGTTGTTCTATTTAATCGAGATTAATCCAAATCGTGGACATATCTGACAACCAAATTGTACTCAAGGAAGAAATATGCAAATGCATAGAAATTCTAGTCCTGGTAATTAATGATATACACTTATTAGTAGATATTACACATTATTTTTTATAAACTAGAAACCAATGAAAATATTAATTTCTAATTTTAATAATGTAACTTGGTCAAATTACCCTATTGACTATAAAATGTTACAACTTTTGTCACCATAGGGCCCATTGCCCCATTTGCCAACCCCTTGTCACAGCTCTGATAACTTCTATGTGATACCTGATATCATAGAATATTATAGAAGCGACACTCGCCTTTCCACTTTTATTGTTTTTATTTTGTGACGGACTGATTGATGTTGTAAGCTTGGAGGTAAGGCATGATGTTAAGAACGCTTTTATCACCAAAACGGACCACTCGAGACCAGCCCGCCAATATTTAAAAAAAATAAGGTCACTGCATACTACCTTAGAATAAATAACTATAAAATAATAATATAATAACTATGTACCCATATTATTTTATAATACTACAATACATACATACATACATATAAAAGCTATTATAAACACGTTTGTGTTATTTGAAAAAATCAGGAAGGACAAAACCAGGTGACTTTTCATCATTTTAATAAAGATGAAAACCTGAAAGTATATTTAATTTAGTATAACCATAAGTCGTCATAACTGCAGGTAAACTCCAGTGCTTGTTTTATTTTTTCAAATCATGTGTAATAAGGCACTGTTCAGTAATTAATTCAGTAATTAAAACAGACACTTGAATTTAGAAATTATTGGTTGGAAATCAAGGTATTCCTTATTCCTAATAGCTAATACTAATAGCAAAAACTTTTAGATTCTGAGCGGAGCGATGAATGTATTGGTTTTACAATGATGTATGTTTTTATATTTTTATTTATATTTTTATTTATATTTTTGTGTCTGTCATCACGTTTTGGGACAGTAAAAGTGCTTCGATTTTCTTCAATAGTACCTTTTCTGATAGGAAAGTGAATCTAGTTGGTACTTTGGGGGGTCAAAAGTAAACATTTTCCAGTAAGTTTCACAAGCGCCGGGAAAAACAACATAAAAATTAAGGAAAAAGGGAATTTTTACGCAAATCGATTTTCCAAAAAATCGAATTTGGTTTTTGGTGTAACATTAAAACAAATGACCGTAGATACATGAAATTTTCACTGGTTGTTTATATTTGCATTTTCTATACACGATAACATTTTCAAAATATTTTGATTTATTTTGAACTGTTTAGGGACATTTTCATTTTTCATTTTTTTTAGTTTTTTTCTAGAAATATCAATAAAATTTTATTTGTTGGTTGCGAAAGCTTGAAAATTTAATAGAAGGCTCCTAATATGTTGTTTCAAAGGAAGATGAAAAATATTAAAAATCCTTAGTCACAATTTTTTTTTATAAGCATTTAAAGTTCAAAAATTGACAAAATATGGAAAAATCACAAAAATTAGCAAATTATTTTGAGTTAAGAATTCGTAAAAATTTTTCTTTTTAAATCTAAGATTTGAAAATGAAACACAAGATTCCTTATAAGATTATCTACCTTTATCAATAAAAAATCTCTACCGGACAGTCAAATTAAATTTTTATGAGCGTTTGAAATTCAAATTTTTACAACATTGGATATTCACTCGATTACTCATGTAGCGATTTCTTTATTTTGTTGCAATTCAAAAACGAACAACTGTAGATACATGAAAATTTCACTGAATGTTTAAATTAGCATTTTCTATACACCATACAATTTTGAAAATATTTTGACTCTTTTTGAGCTGTTTATGGACATTTACAGCTTTCAATTTTTTTTAGTTTTTTTTTCTATAAATATCAATAAAGTTTTATCTGTTGGGCCAAAAAGTATAAAAATTTAATACAAAGCGCCTGATATATTGTTACAATATCAGTTGAAAAATATTAAAAATACATAGGCACAGTTTTTTTTTATAAGCATTTAAAGATCAAATTTTGACAAAATTTATCAAAATCTCGAAAATTATCAATCATTGTAATTAATAAATTATAAATGTTCAGTTTTTATAGCTAAGGATTACAAATTCAACACAAAGGTTCTCATAAATAGTTCATATTATAACCAAAAAATCTAAAAAATATATGAACACAATGATTTTTTACAGACATTTTAAATTCAAATATGGAAGAAATTACATATTAAAAACCTAGAATAACTATTTTAGTTATTTTGTTGTGATTGAATAATATTATTCGTAGGTACTTGAAACTTCTAAAGTGTACTATTATATATCTATGATAGTATCACGGTTTTTGTTGATGTATAACGCGTTATAAGTATCTAATGGATATTGTGATATGATTAATTTGGAATTTATTATAGGTACCTATTATAGGTCAATATTCTTTGTTTAATACCATAGATATGTATATAATATGTCTTTTACATAGACTGACATACCGTCACCGCTCAGAATCGTTTTTCTTATACAATGATATTATATCATTGAATTCAAATTTAATACCATCCATTATACAGTGACCCACTTGTAACTTACTGTACAGCAGAGCGACACCCACTTGCCCACCTTTTTTTAATATGTTTTTTTCAGCGCATGTGTCATCAAAGTTTTTTTACTAACATATTTATTTTTTTGTTTAAAAAACTGATAACCAATTGGTTTTTAAAAACCTGACTACTAATTTAAAAAAAAAAATACTTTTTTAAGAATAATAAAAAATTCCAGTTTATTTTTGTGTTAGCCTCAATATTGAATTTTTTTTAAAACCATTTTGAATTCAGTGTGTTAAACACATTATGGAGCAAAAACAATCGAACAACAAGCATGCGAATGGCTCTAGTTATACTTGTCTTATTGTACCATATATTAGGTATATTATATTATATTATTATGTTATTTTATTTTATTTCTAATAATTAAAATGTTTGTTTAAAATTTAGGAGTAATATTTGGATTCAAAATATTGGTTTAAATGATACATCCAGACTTTCTCAAAAGAGAATCTTTCATGATAATTTTGATTCTGCTTGTTATTTACTTAATACAAATCGATTAAAATTAAATGCAACTCCATAAATATCCAATTTTGTTGAAATGAACAGCTGAATGAGGAACCAAAATGTGCTATTCTTCAGCCTTTTAAACATATATCTGATGTTACACACAGTTAGAGTAAATGTTAAGATATTAAAATTTTCAATTTTGATTAATTAAGTTTTTGAAAATGGAAAATTGCAAATTTTATGTAATTTATAAATATTGTTTTATATATATTTTGACATTTTGTTATTTGATACCTAATGTAGTTAGTCATTTTGTATAAGAACATGGTCTGTAAATAAAATAATGTAAAATTACTGTTATTAACTGGTTATTTTATGTTAAAATGTGTTGTTATATCATTTCATTATCTAGTTTGTATATTTTGTATTTTGTAAATTGTAATTCTCTACCTTCAACCATAGAACATTAATGTTCTATGCTTTAACACAAGCTTGTCGTATAAACTTGTAGAAGGTAGATAATTCATTGTATATGTTAAATAATAAGTACCTATACACTAATAAACTAATATCTGAAAAAACTATTTACAATATTATTAAACAAATATCTTAAAAAAATATACTATCTGTGATCCGTCCATCGTATTACATTAAAAAAATTGACGTTGTATTATTATACTTCATAATTTTTAATACTCTTATAGCACAGCTATCAACAAGAATGATGTTGTAAGATTGGCGGTAAGATAAGAAGTTACCAACAATTTCCAAGGCCATGAAAACATTCTAGACTCATTAACGTTGGCCGCCTGAGAGTGTCGCTTCTATAATATTCTATGCTGATATCTAATTAATTTATAATATAAAAAAAGTTGATAAGCGGAAAGGTGGTTATCTCAAGCTCTCCCAATTTATTTGAGTTTTATGATAAAATAAACATGTACTCGACCAATATTCTTTAATTATGTTAAATTAGGTCAAATAATTTCTAGTCATAGTACTACTAATAATCACTAAAAATATATAAAATTACAATTTTAAGCAACTAACAAAAAAAAATGTAAGTTTAAAACAGGAAAGTAAGTAACTATATTATTATTTGCATACAATTGTCTTAAAAAATGTACCTAGGTACTAGGTAGTTAATTTCAAATAGATGGTCCAGTTAAAAATTCTCTGACTGGACTTTTTATAGTACAACCATCATCTAGGTCCAAATACGAAATTCTATCAAAATAAATCAATGAAGATTGTCCATATCTCTTTACCGATTTCAATAGCAGGATGGTAGTTGAGTATTGTGAAGCATTGTGTGTATTATTATACAGTGATTATCTCATTCATTGCGTCATTTGTGTTACCAATGCCCTACTTTAAATAAATTTCCTTATACATAATATATTATATTCCTACCTAATCTTTAGGTAGTCTTTAAGGTAATTTTTTTTAAGAACATACTATTTGTAACCCTACTACGTATAGTAGTTTTACTCCACTCAAAGTACAAATATACATTGATAATTTACTGAATATAGCAGGATAAAATCAAAATGGAATCAAAGTCACCACTAAGGAACTAACACCAAATTATGTAATTTTATAACAAAATGATTAAATTTATAGACAATTAGTTAACTTTCAACGTCAATACACCCCGAACATTGGGACAATAAACTGACCTCTTGTACCCAATTGTTTTTATCTTCCATCACGATGGTCGAAACAAAAAATTGTATTCCGAATTTCACAACAGGTGCCATCAAAGTTATATTCTATAAAGCCGATTACAAATAGGGTACATACTAATTTACTAACCGGAACAAAATCGGGCTCCTTGTTCCTTGACAGGGCTTAAATTAGGAATGGACATACGGGGGTGGATAAACTATAAAAAAAATACCGTTAATTCCCCCGACCTGGGCTTGTCATTCTCCGACTGGAATGAAATTTGTAAGGGACATACTTTAATACCTAATCAATGATGTATAAAAAATTCAACTATCTACCACCATTACCCTCCCCAAGAAAATGCAATATTAGGCGATCATTTTGGTCAACAGTAGCATTGGTTTTAAGTTAAATTTGAATCAAGGAAATACGTGTGTAAGCGTTGATTTTATAATAGATCAATGAAATCAATGTCACGAGCAATGATACTACTACGGATGTCATAAAATATTCATGTAAGCGCTATTCGATAATCGCAAAGCGAAGACTCTATATAAATATAAATATGTTGTTGTATTCGACAATGACAGTCTAGTACATACTTCTCGATATGTCTTCCGACACCGGCGACACGGACGAAATCGGCGAAGGCGGAGTGGCCGGTCGTTCGGACTTTTGAGGGGCCGCAGGTTGTTGAACGTCTAGTGCACAGGCCACAGCAGCGTCCGCAGCCATCCACTGGCCGCTGGGTACGTAGAATTTGTCGGCGTCCGTGTAGTTTCCACCTTCATCTTCTCTCCTCTTGATGCGCTTCACGTACTTGTCCATTACGGATGTTCACGGAACAGATGAATCACGGAAAAAAGCCGCACATCGTCGGCGACGGATCGCGGTTCCTTATTAAATAATTCAAACTCTTAACGAACACGGTACGACCGTTATTACGTCTTATTATCGTTGTTACCGTTTAGCTATAAAAAAAAAATAGACAGTGTTTGATACTGTGGTTTTTTGTGGTACTATTGACGACTTATCACGCACGTGTACGCGAGTTCATGATTAAATTTTGAAATATATATTATATATTTTTATGTATTTATAAAAACACTATTTTGTTCAAATCAATCTCTCAATTGCATTGTTTAGTCATAACTTTTAAATTTTTTATTCAAATTTAGATTTTTTAAGCTTACATCCCTTTTGGGTCTACGCCGCGTCATTGTCCCTTCACCGTTGCTGCAAGTGGCAACATGGTGCAACAACTGCAACACGACTACATTTCGGCGACGCGTTATCACGACTGTTGTCATGCGTGACATTATGGCGAACGTCGTTTAGTCCCCTATCTCCTTTCGCATTAGTTCGTACTTCGTACCAGTGTACCACGGTCTACGAACAAAAAGAACGGGATTCTCATTTCCCAACTGTCTGTCTGCCTATCTAATACTAGAAATAATATTATAAATTATAATTTATAATATTAAAGTAGTTGGCAGACGGCAGTCGGGCAGTATATGTTATGGCTACGCAGTATAGTTCAGGTGTGAGCTGGATTTTTTTAAAAAATATTTCATGAATTGATGAGTTAATTTTATGAGGTTACTAAAACTATTATAAGCCTGGAGGGCAGCCACATATGTCAACTTTTTTTTTTTAATTATCTACCTACCTACCTAATGAATAATGTTAAATTTATTAAATATCAACGTAATAAATAGTCAGTGAATTTTTAGGTTTTTACATATACCTAATATGTATTCATTATTGACTTAATTCATCTAAATGGGAGTGAAAATGTGGACGACTTACCTATTGCCTATTACAGAATTCGTAGAAAAAAAATTATTTTGCATAGGTGGTTTTATTAACTGCTAAAGCATATTTTGGAAATTGGAGAATATTCAGTAATTCAGTATACATTTTAAAAATGAAATATTATAAAAACTGTTCAAGTACTTGGTAATTAAATTAGAAAATCGTTTGATTGTGTAATTTGTTTAATAATTATTTCAAATATGACTGAATTTAAAAAATAATTTACCAGTGTGCAATAATTATTTTTATGTTTTAGTATAATATTATTACATAATGTGGGATTAACGGATGGTACCTATAAATGCATAGGCGGACATCCATTAAAATTTCTGGGGGGCTCACATTATTATTAACAAAAGCCCCGGCTTCGATCTTACAAAACTAAAAAAAGGAGGGGGCTTGGGCTTGACGGACTTTTGAGGGGCTAAGCCCCCTCAAGTCATAGTTTTGGCCATAGGCGCAAATTGGGGGGCTAAGCCACCCCAGACTTAGCCATAGCCCCCCCCCAAACCTAGAACATACAATTTTAATATGCAATATTGCAATGGTCTGCTTGCCTTTAATATATTCAGCCCCCCAAGCCAAAAGTTGAAATTGCGCCTTTGGTTTTGGTATGTTACTTACTTGCAGTGTTGGGGAGTAACTTAACTTAAGTTACAAGTTACCGTAACAAAATTACTTTTTAAGTAATTTGATGATAATTTAATTACATTTTATTGTAAGTAAAATTTATATGTAATTTAAGTAGCTCGAGTCAGTGTTGTCAATAGGCGATTATTTTTGGGTTGATCAATTTTTTTAAGTAATTTTGATCCATCAACTTGTATTCTAAACATAAAATTGGCGGAATTAGAGCTAGGTATAATTTAAAAAAAAATTATTTAATTAAATTTTATTGTTTTTAATTGTATGTATCTATTGTTTCCTTTTTACGAATATATGATACAATTTATTATAAAAACATGAACTTTTGGAAAAGACCTATCATTAATCATTCGTTATTAAACTAATCATTGCATGTCGGACATGTGTATGGGATACTGGATAAATTAGTTATATTTTTTTTTTCTCAATAAAGGTTCTCCCTATAACCCTATAACTACCTATTCCATTTAATACCCATTTAAATAAGCGATAAGTGCACAGACATTTCTGACAGGGTAGTCATACATAACACATTAACACACACATATAAGTATAATATATTATATTCTTTTTCACGCCTAAGTTATAAAAACTTATTTGGATTGGGTAACTTCATATTACATTTACCATACTAAAAAAGTATTTTATAAATAAAATGATTGATTATCATGATAATATTGAACATTTTTTTTTGGAGAGGATGGTCCAGAGTTCTCAAGTAAATACCTTGGCTGTGGTAGCAAAGCGGTGTGCTTATGATCTATTATCTATATAATATAATATATCATATTTTGTGAATATGCAATTACAGTATTATTATAAATTATTACTTATTACTTATAAGTTATAACTTTTTAGTTATTACTCTACAGTCTATAGTATATATTACTATGTACAATAAACTTTATATCTTATTTACTGATTTCACATATTTTGTATAAATTTGTATGTTATTTTGATCACTAATTTGGCACAGAGATAGCTCAAAATACTTCGATAGTACCATTCAGTAAGTGGTTATTTAGAATACATACAACATTATAATTAAATTTATAAATAATATCTAGTATTTCCGATTATTAAATATAAAAAAAAATATATGTATATATTTTAAATCTATAGGGTTTTAAATCAGGAAAAAATTACTAAATGCGATAATTAAATTAATTAACTTATAAGTTATTACATAACATGGATAAAAAAGTAAGTCATTATGTAATTTAGTTAAAAGTAACTTAACTTTTTAACTCGTTATTACCTAGCCTTGGTTTTTTGTTCAATGTTAGACTTTCGTAGACTCATAACGGGTAGCAAAGTTATTTTTTCGGTTGAATAGAATTAAACGTTTTGGCATTACAGCAGTTACTAATTGCTTACAGTAATATTATGATCAGTATAACATACATATTTAAATTGACACAAATATTAGAATCAATAATAATATATAATATTATAATGTATGTAATGTATTAAATCAACTATCAAGAGAAAAATATAATAAGTTATTGTAATAATGTACAAAGACCATATTATTATTTACTTCAGGGGTAGCCAGCAATAAATCACAAACCATACAGTATAATTAAAAATATTATGAAGAGCACAATGATACCTATTATTATATTAGCAAAAATGTTAAGACACAAGCAGCGGTTGGCCCACCCCTATACTACTAATTTAATAATTGGTTTAATCATTCAAATTATTTTTGTCTACCGATATTATAGTAATCGGTTTTGTCGCATTACCCTCGCCGCCGTTATCGAGTTAAAATTTATTTTTAGACTAGGTAAATTTCTACGGCAACGCGGCGCCCCTAAAAAGACATCGCGGCGCACCAGGGCGCCGCGGCGCACAGTTTGGGAACCGCTGGTTTAATGTGATAGTTCAGGGTGAAACATAGTGCAAAGATTAATGCTGTAAATATCCGATTATCTTTTCTTAAAAGTATTTAAAATACAGTAGTCGCCACTTATTGGACTCACTTTTGTATCAGAGTATAATATGAGTCCATTAATTGAATGACTCAATAAGGCAAATTTTTTAAGAATTAAAATATATACTTATACACTTATGTGTTATAATTAAAAATTTTAATGTGGCCATGTACTGATAAATATTCATTATTATATATTTTTTTATGTGCATCAATTGTACAGTTTCATTCATAAAGAACAACAACATGAAAAATGACAGCAATAAAAATATAAAAATTTTATCTTTTCAAAAATATTGTTCCATAATTACTTTATTAAAAAATACTTTAAAATATTTAATATTTTTCGATAGGATAAGTAGAGAAAATAGTTTTGATTGTTAAAACATAAGCGATAAAATCGTGAAAATGGACTAAACATTGAGAAAATATGAACTTAAAAATATACATTGACCCCACTATGCATAAGTATACATGTAAATCGGGACCAGCCTGTTTGAGTCCAATAGGTAAACATGTTCATTAATCATGAGTAAATTAATAATCGGAGACTACTGTACTACTCAAATTAATAAAGTATTTTCAACATTTCTCTATAATTTGTCCTTCATTAAAAAATATTAGCAATATAAGTAAAAAAAAATATTATTGAATAATAAAATGGTATTATTATTTGTTTATTACGTTTATAATATATTCAAAATTGCTATGTATTCCATGCTCAAAAAAGTATTTCAATAATTTTACTCGAATATTCAGAGCCGTGTCGAGCAATTCAGCGCCTCGGGGCAATTCCCTTCCCTACAATTTGGGCCACAGGTAGCATATAAAGCAAATAAAGGCGCCCCCTTACTTTTACAAAACTATGGCGCCCGGGGCAATATTATACATCACCTGCAAAGGTTCTAGTGAAGTCACACTCATCTAAGCAGTGGTACGGTTCTACTATTATGAATTATAAGGTTATACTATATTTAAAAGAAACTTAATTAATTTTATTTTATTTACTATTCAAAAATATTTTATAAATTAGACACATAAAAATTTTATTAACTATAAATTTAAATAAATTAAATAATATTTCAACCATATACACTTCAATAAACTAAATTTACATTAAAATAATTATAACTTATACAATTATTTTGTGTTTACAACAATTAATTTATAATTTTCAGTAATTAGAATAATATTTTATTAATTGTAAAATAATAATAATAATAAAAATAATAAAAATAAATGTGATACAATACAATTTGTATATTGTTAATCTATAATAGTAATTTCTTTTAAACTAATTAATCTACAAGAAAGTTAGGTAATTAATATTGATATAAAAAATACTAAATTTATCAACATTGTCCCCAACCCATTATTATTACCAACCTTATTGGTAGGAAATAATAAATGAGCGAGTTAATAATTCACGAAAACACAATTTATGATTTCAAATCTAGAAATTATTCATTACAATAAGTATATTATGTACCTAATTTAAAAGATACAAACAATTAATTCTAGGTACCTGGAGGACCCCCGATATTGTTACTGTTACTGCCAACAGATACAGTGGAAATACCATCACAGCCTAATAATGATGTAATATTTGGGGAATTTGATTGCTGTTGAGAGTTAGTCAAGCAAGAAGAGGCAGAGGAACCTATGGAAGAAGCATTGTTTAATTGTTGCTGCTGTTGTTGAATTGATAAACTCGATCCTCCAAGTAAGCTTTGCTGTTGCTGTTGAGAATTTGGTCCCCCTAATGAAGTGACAGACGATAACATATTCAGAGGTGGTGGTGGAGGTGGTGCTACAACACTACTAGTACCATAACAATTGCTACGTAATGCTCTATACTTATTAAGTTCATTAGGGAATGTTTGTCCCAAGTCTGTGAGTACATTGGCTTTGAATTTTTTCAAAGCATCAATCTTTCCTTTGACCTGTTCATTTTTATGTAACGCCTTCTCTATACAGTCCTTAGTATAAAGCTGAGGGTTACGTCCTCTATCAATGTACCTAATATGTGAAAAAGAAACAAAAGCAATAAATATAAAAATATCATGAAAATTGATTATGTTTTGTTCTGTAAATAATACTCAGATTATATGCAGTAAAAAAACTGATCAAGTTATAATATATCTAAAAATATAATTGAATTAACTTCTCTAAACCTAATGCTTTTGTAATAAAAAATAATCATTTTAATGATGCTAATACGATGTAAGCATAGGCTCTACGGTAGAAATTATTAGACCAAATACTCTCAAAAGTAATATAATTATACTTACTCAAATACTTCTAAAGGTACATGAATGTCTTGTACGTTGGATTTCAGTTTATTAATTTCTTGTAAGCCAGTGACGGCATTTTGACTGTATATAATAATAGACAAAAATCAATGACAAACGAAAATTACAGAAAGTTATAATAATCAATAGTGAAAAATGTTGAATACATTTTTTGATTTAATACTGTCTGCCCTTGGGGTTGGAAATCGGCGACTATTATTCGTATTTGACGTACATTTTCTACAAACATTTCCAACTGGGTTTCCAAGTCTTCCAACGGCGACGATGAACTCGACGAAGCCATTATCGCAATATCTGGTTAAAACGAGATGATGATCGATTATTTACGTACGACATACATCATAGTAGTAAATAATGTAAGGTGAAATACTTACTAAACGTTTTAATATTGAGCACTTAACATATCCGCCGACCGACCATTATACTACGACGACTAATCACTGAAGGGTTAGACATTGTTTTGATCTTTGTTGTTATCAAATAATATTTGATATCAACATCGAAGCTGGTGAGACATTCGCTTCCATGATCGCGGCATAGATCTTCTTTTTTACGTCCCCGCCAAACATTTTTGATCGGGCCCAGTTACCTATACAGTTTTATACAATTACAAATATTGACTTTTGTGTCCATAGGCGCTAACAATACTATGAAAGCCAATTTTTGTGGAGAAGATTGGGGGGGGAGGGGCATTAACGAGTTAAAAAATAAAATAAATTTAAAACGTTAAGTTAAGAGGACGCTACATGGATATTTGTTGTCTCCGTCTTCCAAGTGCATTACGGTACTCAAATTTAGGCTCAGCCGATAACGTTTAACTCCGTTAGTTTAAAAATTAGAGTGAATAAACGTAACATGAGACTTGATGGTAAGAACGCATTATCTATGTTTATATGTTAGTTTTTTTTTTTCGATGATTTAGTTTTAAGTGAGTTAGCATTTTATATAGGTACGCTATACCTATATTATATAGGTACCTACGCATAACTTACTAAAAAATTGACCTACCGTAAAAAACCTACGTGCAAACACAGCTAATGTTCTTACTTCTTAGTTCTTACCATATAGTTTCATAATAGGTAGATTCACTCTAATTTTTAAACTATCGGAGCTAAACGTGATCTGCTGAGTGCACATTTTCTTTGTTATACACACTTGTACAACGGAGACAACAATAATGGCCGTGTAGCTTCCTCACAATGTTATAAGTGAAATAACTCATTACTTTTTTTTCAAAATATTTTGACTTGTTTTAGCCGATCACGGAGATTTCCAGTTTCCAATTTTTTAGGTTTTTTTTCTATAATAATGTCACTACAATTTTATTAGTTAGGTCAAATCTACAATAGTTGTTGAAAAATATTATTATATAATTATTTAGTTTGAACTTTGACAAAATACGTAAAATCACGAAAATGTGAAAAATTATTTTCAATTAGAAATTTATAAACAATTTTCTTTTTAATCTAAGATTTGAAAATTTAATTCAAGATTCCTCATGTTTGTCTAACTTTACCTTTATCATAAAAAATATTTATCTGAATATCTGTAGACTATATAGATACTTGAAATTTCCACTAATGGCTTATTTTAAATTTTCAAAATATTTTGTCTCGTTTTAGATTCTTAGTTTCTGATGAATGTATTGATTTTACATTGGTGTGTGTTTTTATTTTTTTTATATTATATTTTTTTTTTTTTTTTTTTTTGTGTCTGTGATCACCTATTAAGACAGTAAAAGTGCTTAGATTTTTTCAACAATATCGTTTCTGATATGAAAGTGAATCTAGTTGGTACTTTGGGGGGTCAAAAGGTTTATCAGTAGTTTTCAAAAGCGCCGTAAAAAACAAAAGAAAACCCAAGGAAAGACGGGAATTTTTACGCAAAATCGATTTTGGTTTTTGGTATCCCTCTAAAACATATGACCGTAGATACATGCAATTTTGAATGAATGTATATATTAGAATTTTCTATACACCATAACATTTTGAGCTGCTTACGGACATTTTCAGTTTCCAATTTTTTTTAGTTTTTTATTCTATAAATATCAATAAAATGGTATTTGTTTTTTAAAAATGTTTGAAAATTTAATAGAAGGCTCCTACTTTATTGTTATATTGTTATACTATAAGACATTAAAAATATTAAAAATCCTTAGTCACAGTTTTTTTTTTTAAGCATTTTAAGTTCAAAAATTGACAAAATATGGGAAAAGCACGAAAATTATTTTGAATTGAGAATTTATAAAATATTTTCTTTTTAAATCTAAGGTTTGAAAATTTAATACAAGATAATTCATAAGTTTATCCACCTTTATCAAAAAAAAAAAAAATGTCTACAAGCAAATCTAATTATATTTTTATGAGCGTTTGAAGTTCATATTTATACAAATTGGATATTCACTCGATTTCTCATGTAGCGATTTTCTTATTTTGTTGTAATATAAAAACGAATAACTGCAGTAGATATACCTACATGAAAATGTTTTTATTTTCATTTTCTATACATCATCAAATTTTGAATTATATTTTGACACTTTTTGAGCTGTTTACGGACATAAATATATGGTAGTCTGCAGTGATATAGTCAGTTTTAAGTTTTTATTTCTATAATTATCAATAAAATTTTATTTATTGGATAAAAAAGTGTGAAAATTAAATACAAGGCTCCTGATATATTGTTAAAATAGCAGATTAAAAATATTAAAAATACATGCACAATTTTTTTTATAAGCATTTAAAGTTCGATTTTTCACAAAATTTATCTTAAAATTTAAAAATGTTCAACTTCTTAGTTTATTTAAATATTGATATTTATCCATTTTCAAATTAAGATTTCAATAATTGACACCATGGAAACAGTGCACAAATTAAATCAGATTTTTAGAATATTCAATACAATAGGTAGGTACCTACTAAACATATTACAATTTATTGTTATATTAGGGTAACTGAAAAAGTTAAAAACAAAATAATATCTATTCAGAAGTCCTTTATTTAGAGGTTATTTTGTTTTTTAAATTTTTAGTGTGTTAGTTGAGACCAGTGGCATGACTCTTTCAACACTCCTTCGATGATAATCGCTGCCGTAAATGACAAAAAAGAGGCCCATCAAAATCAGAAAATAACAAAAGGTTAAAATTATAATCAAATACTTAATACGAAATGATACATCAGCGCGACCTTGAAGTCGGTCTATTTTACTTATTTTATACTAATCTACATTTAAAATTAGTCAATAATAAAAAAAAGTTTAATAAAATTTTCATTAAATATGACAAGTTTTGATTAAAAAATGGGTCAAAATGTAAAATTATCTAAAAATATGCAAAATAAAATGTGTAATTTTAGTTCATTGAATTATAAAACAAATTTAACGTTTAAGTTTACTCTGCTATTTCTTAAGCATTTTATAAGAAGTACCTATGCAAATACTATAAAAACCCCAACAGTGGTAGTAATTAATAGGTACATTTAAATGAATTGTGGTGTTAGTACTAAAGACACACATAAGGGGATATATGGGACAATGAGGGTAACCCCTAAAGTACCCACCACGACCACGACATTGGTTAAAATTAGTGTTGGAAAATTACAATGAAAAATTAATTAAAAAAATAAAATTAGTAATTACTCGGAATATAATATTATTTTGTTGTCAGCCTCTCTTATAGGGGTGATAGCACTCATTGGTACCTACTTATCTATATAATATGTCAGCATATACAAATCTTCATAAATATTATATAGAGGTTACGCAGAGGTGGTGGTGGTAAAATGAGTCCGGACACAATTTACCACCACCTCCAAGACAAAATAATTTTACCTCAACCACTGCATTTGCACCTTGCAATATTTCAGTGTGATCGGATCTTTATAGGAATACGTGCTTCTCATATTTTGTTCTATACGTATAGAATAAACAAAATTATAGCTCAAACTTAAAAATACATATAACATAATATTATTATGCTCCCTTCGATCTTCATCCAACACAGTCTGACTATTAATATTATCATGTATTCATGTGACAGTATACACAGGGGCGTCATTTCAGTTTTATTAGACTAGGGCAATTTTTCACTGCTTTTTCGACTCAACATTTTTTTCACTCAGATTCTCATAGCATAGCGCCATAGAGGTAACTGGGAGGAGGGGGCGTGTGGTAAATGTGCCGAGTACTGCCGACTTAAGATTGATGTAAGTACTAGATTGGGTCAAATACCCCAGTTGCCCTCCCCCAAATGACGCCACTGAGTATACAACAATATATTTCTTCAAAATTACAAAAATAGGGCATGATTTTAAGTTTTAACATAGGCGCAACTATAGAGTTAGGTTACACCTATAGGGCCACATGGGGCTTATATGAGTTATATATAAATCAATAAGGACATACGGTTAGTCTCAAGTTATGACATTGACGAAAATGTGTCTTATAACATTTTAAATCTGGACAACGCGTTATTGACTTAGCGACAAAAAATAAATAATAGATTTAAAAAATAAATAACTAGGTACATCATACATGTAATAAATATATAATGCATTTTGTACCTGATACAAAGACTCTTGTAAGTTGTAATATTATCTTACTAGGTATGAATATATTTATGCGTATGTAAATATTATTAAATGAAAAATAATATTATGTAGTTGTATAGTAGGTATCCCTGAAAAATAACAAATGAATAATGATAAATTATAATATTGATTTATAGGTAAGGTACCTAGTTTTTCTTGTAGATTTGAACCTTAAAAAGAATATGTTGAACAAATTATTTAATTATTGAAGTTTTTGAGAAATAATATTTCTAAATAACCTGTGCTTTTGTGTCTTTTTTAAAACTAATTTTTTAACACATTGCATAAGTACATCATTCTATATAAAAATAAAAATAAAACAACATTAAAAACTAAATTTTTATCAAATTTACCTACACAGGATTGACATAATGCTTAGTTTTGCGCACTTAATATGATAGGGATATTATTATTATATAATAAGGATATTGCTGTATATTGGTTTGTAATGTTATTTTTTCATATTTTGTAGAGGTTATGTTTTTTTTTAAATCGAAATTTCTGTGGGGTTGGCTTGGGAAATGCCACTTATACTCCGATCCGTTTCCAACCAATGTCAATTTTTTAGAAAATCAATCGCAAATAATTGGAAATTAAAATTGCAATTTTGACGAATTTGTAGACAAATTTTGACTGTCCTCCCACCCTCGCTTTGTCCGATCTGTGTCAAAACATCTCCAATATTAAGCGAATCAATTGCTTTAAAAAATATTTAAATTTCTATATTTTCTAGATTTCTAAAAATAACTAATGAAAATAATGTACTGGTGATTCTTTTATCAAACAACACTCATTATTTCAAAAAGTGTAAATTTTTTTGAAAATATTTTTTTACATAGTTTCAAGTCGCTTATAAAACAACGTTTTTATAAAAAAATTATATTTTTAAATATTTTTTATCTTTATAATTATTTATGTTTTTTACTTTTTTAAATGACAACATAGGGTTTTAATTTTATATTCTAAAGTAGAATATTTTTCTTAGTATTTTGATACATTAAAATCGAATTTGAGGCGAGTAGTTTACGAGTTATAAGTATTTAAAGTTTAGTCAAGCGGAGTGGAGTGGTTCGGGGTTACCCCGCGAAATGTTTGTCCACTTCACCACTCATCAAACTTTGAATATTTATAACTCATAAACTACTCAACCCAAATTCCATTTTCATGTATCAAAATACTAAGAAAAAAATTCTGCTTTGGAATATAAAATTAAAACCCTATGTTGTTATTCAAAAAAGTAAAAAACTTAAAAAATTATAAGGATAAAAAATATTTAAAAATATAATTTTTTAATAAAAACGTTGTTTTATAAGCGACTTGAAACTATGTAAAAAAATATTTTCAAAAAAATTAATACTTTTAGAAATAATGAGTGTTGTTTGATAAAAGAATCACCCAGTATATAAAAAATGTATAATAAATACATGTTAACATTATTAACACACAATTAATATATATATAAAAAAAAAATATATAAAATTGTCGTTCACTAGTTTCAATAGTGTGCTGTTACTTTTGGTACTAGAGTGAATTGACCTATAATAAAACTTTTAGGTAAGAACATTATCTGTGCTTAAGCGTTGGCTTTTATTCAATATTTTAATTTTCAAGTGAGATATGAGAATTTTTAATTTTTGATAATTCACATACCCATATCTTACTTGAAAATGAAAATTTCGAATAATCGACAACCCTTAAGTACAGGTAATGTTCTTACCTAAAAGTTTTAATAATACACTCTAGTATCAAATGTAACAGCACACTATTAAAACTAGTGAACGACAATTTGCTATGTCCTGTGTGGTAAGATGGAGACAACAAATGTATGGGTAGCGTACTACTAGCGTCTTCTTAAGATAAATAATGATAAATAAATACAAATATAATAATTTAATACAATATAATATAAATATAATACAATTATTGTATATAATAATTATTACGTTTGAGGTACTTTTCTTAAAAACTATTAATGAAAATTATCAAAAAAGATTTCTAAATATAATTAATTAAAATAATATAAAAATTGTATAATACCATAAATAAAAACAATACATTAAAAATATTAATAAAAATAGTGTAAATTACTAAAAGTAAATAATAAAAATAACGCATATTAATAATTGATAAAACTATAATATTTAAAAAAATTAACCAAAATATTATGTATACAAAAATTAATTAAAAATGATTATCAATAAATACAATTAAAAAAAAAAAATTAATAAATATAATAAATAAAATTGATTAAATATGTAATTACGATTTATTAATTTTTTTATGAAATTATTTATTATTAAACCGAATTGTAATAATTATTTTTAATATAAATACATTTTTAATTGTTTTTAAAGAGTAAGTTATATTAATCATTTTTATTAATTGTTAATATACATACATTTTATTCATTATTCATATGACTCAGTTTAATTAATTATTTTTGAATAGGTACCTACTTTATTTTGTATTAATTATAAATACATTAGTGGTTCCTAACCCATGGACTGGGGCCCACATATAGGACCCGGGTATTGGGCTGCGGATGCTGGTCGAGGGTATAAGCAAAGGGTCGGTAAATGTTAATTGGCATCAACGTGGAGATTTTTATATGATTTTATACAAGTCTATAATTAAGATATATAATTAATAACCACTATATTCATAGATACAATTAGGGTAAAAATTCTGGGGGGCTAACAAAACTATTTATTCAAAATAACTCATAGGGGGCTAATATCTAAATTAATAAGGGATATTTTTAGGAGGGCTAAATCTTAGCCAAGCCCTTCCCCTAGTTGCGCCAATGCCTATAGTCTTTATATGAGTATAGTGCTTATATTTTATACCTGTATATTAAGTAAGTGGTCCTCAGGTTTTTTTTTACATACACATGTACAACTAAAAATGTTAGGCACTGCTGATATACATTATTTTAATTATTTAGAAAAATGCTTGAAATTGAAAATATATTTGAACAGTGGGGGGGGATGTCTGATATAACGTACGTGTCTTATTTTTTTTTACGTACTGTAAGGAATATTAAATACTAAACTTGATTTTAAACATTTTACTGTGAGTATATAGTTATCTTTGAATCTATTAACGGATATGAAAATTATCATAGTATTACAAGTACCATTAAATTAGAATTTTTAGTTATAAGACCTAATTAAAAAACATTATTTGAGTAATATTTTTCGGTCATTGAAAAACAACTCATATAATATTCACTATAACTATTTAACAGTTTTGCAATAACATATTAATTTTATATGATTTGTACAAGCACTGTGAAAGATGTATATTCTTTTACAATTTAAGTGCTTGGTTGTTGTTACAATACTTCAATGAAATAACAAAAAAGGAATCACAAAATACAATACATTAATAAGAATCTCAGAAATGTTTATTATTATTTTTTTGCCATTTTTTCTACAAATAAGATTTGTAATCTAAACAATTATTATTCAAAACTACAACAGTAATCAATGATTCAACTGAAAATAGGACAAAATTCAATTTAATTTAATAGAATATACGGATTAATATTAAAATAGTTATCAAACACACACATAATATAGTAAAATGTAAAAAAATCTTACTCGAAATAATAATTATTTTGTAAAGTTTAAATTTAAATATTATAATAGTTTAACTTGTCACACATGATTAAATTATACTTATATCCAGAATAATGTATACTAAAGTAATATTATCATCACTACACTTAATAACTATCAGAAAAAACTGCTAGTCATATTATAATAATAATAGCAAACATATTTGTATAATTTAATGGAAAAAAAAAAATATTGTTATGGTCCGAGGATAAACTAAAGATACATTAGTAGGGTTTGTTATTACAAATAAATATAGATGTATAATTATAATAAAAAAAATGTAGAAATCACTGAGACTACTGGATTATGAAATGCAAGAAAATATACGTTTTATTTTTTTGATAATTAATTTTTTTTTTTATTTATAAATTTAACGCCTGGCTCCACGCCTAGCTACACCACCTCTTCCTCCACGGCCTCTGCCACCACGTCCCCTTGGTGTTGTTGGTGTAACTGGCTTTGCCACTGGTTTTGCCGCTGGAGCTACAAATGGCTTTGCCACTGGAATTGGTATTGCTGCTGGTACTGGTGGTATTACTACTGGTATTGGTACTGCAGCTGGTACTGGTGCTGGTATTGGTATTGCTGCTGGTACTGGTGCTGGTATTGGTATTGCTGCTGGTACTGGTGGTATTACTACTGGTGGTATTACTACTGGTTCCACTACTGCTACTGGTTTTATGGTTTCATCTATTTTATCTTCAATAACAGGTTTTTCTGTATTTTCAGTCACTTCGCTTGATTGCGGATCACTCGTATCCATTTTATTGTTTTCTTCTTCGGGTTCTTCTTTATTATCCAATTTAATGCGTTTAACAGCTCTACCCTCCTAAAATCATAAACAGATTGAATAAGTATATTGGACAATATAATATACAAAAATCATAGAACAGTAATGACCTTGATCTAACTGTTCTGTAGTCATCAGTATAACAAAACAATATATATACACATAAATATATTTAGTATTACAAACCTCAGAATCAATATCAACTTTTTCTTCTTTTACTTCAACTTCACCTTGCTTAGCAGTATCATCCTTTTCAATCACTTGATCAATGCCTCGTTTTTTACCTACCAAGGTGGCTTCTTTCATTTTGGTCATTGTTGTGTAATTTATGTAATGGGCCGCAGTCTGGCAATGGATTGAAACTCGTTGTTCGTCCAGTAGGAAACAATTACACAACCTACACACATATCCATTTGTAGAGACCAACAATTCTTTTCCTAAATACAACATACAATTATAATATAGTTAATATTGGTTAGGAAAAAAAATCACTTAGTAACTAGTAATTGAATATTCAGATAGAATTAATTAATTCATATTTATACAGAACAGAATAATAATAATGTGAATAAAATAGTTATTATTATTGAACAATAATTTTATATGCATGTAATTTTGCATTAGATTTTTTTTTTACCTATGGCCACCTTTGGATCATAAGCTGCAGGTTGATTTTCTTTGTTAGTTGCAGATTCGTTGTTAATATTTTCTTCTTTAATGGATTGATCAGCAGCTGTATCTTCAGCAGTTGATTCTTCTCCTGTAGCAATAATATCTGACGTATCCATTTCTTCATCCTTCTTTACTTTGATTTCTTCTTCTTCCTTCTTTACTTTGATTTCTTCTTCTTGTTCTTTGTCATCAGCTGTAATGGTAGTATCAGCAGTATCAGCAGTATCAGCAGTATTAGCCTTATTCGCAATAGTTCCAGCATTAGCCAAATTTTTCTTTCCACCACGATGATGTTTTTCTCCAGTTCCACCTTCCAACTCTAATTTTAATTTAGTAGCATCACGATCGCCAAGCATCTCATATTTTTTAGCAACAGGCATCTGATCATGATCTTGCTGATCGTCTTCTAAATACACATATAATTCATATTGTTTAATATATAACTGCATTTTAAAGTAATAAAAAAATATATAAAAAAAAAAATTAACCTTCAATTTTAATCATGTCAATCAGATCAAATTCATCATCTTTCAAGTGAGGATGTTCTATATTGCGCATTTCAGATACTTTCTAAAATAAACATAATTATATTTATACATCAAATTCAAGCTAAATTTTTATTTACCTTTAAATGTCCAGCAGTTAGTTTGTGTTCATCCATTTCAAGTCGAGTATGGAATAAGGCATCACACAATTTGCATTCGGGATGTAAAAATTGTTTAAGTTTCTATAAAAATGTATTAACAATTTGTATTATATAATTTTGTTTAGCACATGTTTAAATATAAATTCCTACCCTGTGTCTATCGCTCTTTCGATGTCCAGTTAGTGGTCCATAAAAACGTACATCACACATAGGGCAATAGCTACGTAATAGTGGTTTAGAACCAGAGCTGCCGCCTGCATTTTTACCACTACCACTATTAGATTTATGCTTGTTGTTTGTAACACGTTCCAAATCAATCTCTCTTTGGTTTTCAACAGCTTTTATTTGATGTCTCATAAAATCAACACGCATTCTATATGCTTCATCTAAGTAATTCATCATCAATTCATGAGGTCTTCCACGTACATGTTTTTCAAAAGACTAAAATAAAACCAAATTAAAAAGTTTATTCAATGTTATCATTTAATAATAGTTTTACCATACCTCGGAATCCCACATATGTTTGGAACAAACATGGCAATAAAGTACAGCTGAAGGGACACCAACATAAGACACTTTTTTGTCGGCATCCAATTGTTCCTTAGTTCTCTCACGATCATTTTGTCTACAATTTTATGGAAACATTAAGTATAATGGAAATAACTATTCATAAGATTAATTATATTTGGATACTTATATAATACCCTTTTTTGTTTTCATCATTAACTTTTCCTGCAGATTTACGTTTATCTCCATCTTTCATTCCACCACCTGATTTACGGCCTCCACCAGAAAATCTGTTGTGTGGATCGCCACCACCACGACGCTAAAACAGTATTTAGATTAAAACAACAATATTAAATTTAATTATTTAAATTGAATACCCTGTTATCTTTATTAAATCCTCCGTGACCATCTTGTCTTGGGCGCATACCCATATGTGACATTCTAGGACCACCACTGCCCCAATTTCCACTTCGATTTGGACCACCACCATAGCCGCCTCCTGACTAAAATATATATTATAATTTGTAATAATGAAATAGACAAGTAATAATATAACAATTTTATTAATTTAACATGGTATCAGTGAAATATTTAGAATAGTATGAACTACTATGAAGTATAAGAAACCTAACATACCTTATACCACTATAATAACCCATGATAGAGGAATGACCACTGTGTCAACCGAAACTCATCCGGTCAGCTCACCTTCTTCCTCCCTACTAAACATGTTTTAGGAACTGTACACTGACGGTCAACAACGAGTACCTCACTCCCAAAATATTTGAAATATTCAAATGTTTTACTTTAATTGTCACACCTTTTTGATAATCTTTCTTTAAAGTAGGCACCTAAATAATAATCTTTCTTTAAAGTAGGCACCTAAATAATAAATATATAAAACTTTTATCCAACCTAACACATGGCAACACCATTATAGTTAAAATAATTACAATGATGGGTAATTTAAAGAATATTCTATTTAAATGAATATATTTAATTAATATTTTAACTGGGTACCTAAGTATCTTGGACACTGCTGAGCATAGTTTTTTCAGATGCCCGAGATGGGATATAAGGAAGACTGACGTACACATGCAATTTGTGGGCCCTTTGACTGCAGTCAATATGCCAGATCTACTTTGTGTACCTATATTTTTAGACCTTTCCACTGACATGTCCGAGTGGGTTCCACAAAGAGTCTGAAGAATCCTACAGATAATATCAGTCAGTAGAGGACATCTTGTTCATCATTAGATGAAACTAATCTATTGTTGTTAATTTATTTTTTATCACATGGAAATTATGTAAGCTTTGACCACCACAGTGTATACATTATGTATGATGATTTAGTATAATTTTCTGGTACTTATTGTACAATAAATTATTTAGCTGAAGTGGAAGTAATACTATAGTGGTTCTCAGTTCAGTATCCACATAGAACAAAAAAGGTACATAGGTATCTAAATCTTATTTAAAATAATTCTTTGTCAAATCATTATATTTTTTATAATAGTAATATGCAGGGCTCAGGACTTATAGCACTTAAAATCATTAAAATAAGTGCTTAAAAACATCATTATAAGCACTCAAATAAGCATTTAAGAAACTGGAATTTAAGCAAAAATATTTAATCAAAAAAAAAAAAAACTTTCTTTTTACATGATAAAGTAGGTACAAGACATAATTTGTATAACTGTGCTAAAAATGATGATTAGGAAAAGTTTATAACTAAAAAATCAAAAAAAATCTTTATATTATAAAAAAAATCAAACTTCACTTTCGTGACATTTTGCATTATTGTTTATGGATTTTCTTAAAAATAAAATGTAAACAATATTTACAAATAGTTGAAAAAAATTAATTTATTAATTAAATCTTACAGTCATTATTGAAATTGAATGATTTAATTTTAATTCTATCAAAAACCACTTTGCAGGATAAAACCATAAAAAGTAGAAAAACTGGTCAAAAAAACAAAAATAACCAGAAAAACTGTTAATAAGCTTTTTTTTGAAAATCTTTGAAAAAAGCAAAAAAAAAACACTTTCAAATTTCATAATTGAACGTATTGAAACACGACATGCACTTTCATATCACTCTGCTACATTTTAATTCAATCTATAAAAATAAGCTAATGCTTTAAGCCCCGAGCCCTGGTAATATGTGATTAAAATGTAAGGTATGTTGACGGTCCAGTTTTCTGGTCTGTAAGTTGCCGATTGTTGGGCTATAGTGCTATATGGTATGTACAATGGTGATCACGAATAGGCGTAGAATGCATAATGGCAATGATGGAGAGGATGCCCATTGTAAACTAGGATTATAAAATCAAGGTATACCTATCATTGATATTTTATTGAATATTAATATTTTATTTTACTTTATACCTACAACCTACTTAAGTAATAAATACATACTGACGAGCGCATGTTTTTAATTTACATTGATTAAGTTTATGTGCGCCACACAGCGCCATCGTTGGAGTGACGCATATGAATTTAACCAATGTAAATGAAAACATGGGTGTACGATACATTGTGTTTGATATGGTGTCCATATGAAACGGCCCATAGAACTATGACTCAAGGAACCTAAGTTAAGCAAAAGGTTCTAATCAACAAGTACTAAGATGCACTGCTATTTCATGCTAGTTATCATACAGACCACAGATGCTAGATATGTCTCCTATATCTCTTATAACTTTAATGTTATACTCTGTTCAGCGAAAGTTGATCCATTTGCCCGCACAGATACTGAGCCAACCGAGTAGGCGACCGGCGGTCTGTGATTGGTCGGCAGTTTTCGTCGTAGTAGACATCCGCTATTGGGGAAGATCACCACTAGCACTCTGAAGATGGGCCGCTACCAGTTTTCGTCGAGCGAGTGGGTCAACTCTCGCTGAACAGAGTATAGTATATAGAAAGAGTCCAAAAAAGAGAAAGGTGGCTATACGGCGGTTACCCTGTGACCAATTCGAGGTGGTGTTGCATAGCAAGTAGAGAGATATTTTTGATTTTTTTATCCGAGCTCAGAGCAGCGAGCGAGTGGCAGCACAGTCATCACTAGCGCCCCCCCCCCCAAAAAAAAAGCCCTAAAAAGGGTGTCCTGTAAAGATTCAATTTGCACAAAAAACAATCAAGAATTTATAGTTACCATTGAATTAGATGATGTTAGTAACTTGCTGATTATGTTACTGGCTATTGCCAATTGAGCAGGTGGATGATGCCCTTGTTGTGACTGTCGCGGTAATGGACCACTGGCGCCAGGGCTAGCTTGCCAAGGATTAACTGAGCCACCTCCGGCTCGGTAACCACCGCCGTTGTTGTATCGGCCGCCACCAGCTCCACCACCGCCGCCACCACCATAACCACCGCCTCCGCTACCATAACCACCATATCCACCGCCACTTCGTCGGTTGTACGCCATCTCGAAGTGTTTCGAATAGTATTACGCAAATGGACGATAAATAATCAGCGAACGCTGACCGTTTCGACGACAAACTGTACCGGACACAGGAACGTGACAGCAAAAATCGATTTGAATGAGGGATCGCACAGCGTCGTATTTACTTAAGCACAGAAATCAGTGGAAAAATTGCAGTGCGAAATGAGTTTCAACGACGTTGACAAACAACAACGATGAGAAATCCAGAACGAGAAACCGTATTGAACACTAATCAAAACCGACGCCGTCGACCACAACAAAAAGATGGCGTCCAAACGCCAGTCGGAACTCGGTTGTAGTCGGTGCTCGATGCGGGCCGGTGTGGCGGTGTCGCCGCCGCCGGTTTCGTGGCGGTGGCGTCAACGGTATCAACGACCGCAGTGTAGCCAACACAACAGTTAAACGGCATCGGATCAATATAATAATAATTATTTTATTATATTGTGTATATGTGTATATTGTGTATATAGATAGAACAATATCATCATAATATGCAAATTATTGTAATAGAGTGAATATTCCGCATCGTTGCCCTGTTGTTGCTCTGACACCCAGTGCCTACTGCGTACCCAGTACCCACTGGGCATTAGCTGCTGCCAGAACTTGGCCATTATGCCATAGGCGTGCGCAGACCTTGCTGGCAGGGGGGGCAGAATGTAATAATGTACCTATAGGTATATTATATAATATATAGGTAAGTAAATATTATTTTGGTTATTAGTTCAATTAATGTAAGTGATGGAAGTATTTTCATTTTATGTATCATTAAAACTACAAATAACTACAAATTTAATATAGTAATTGAAACTCCAAAGTTTTTTTATATTATATTAATATACATGAACAAAGAAAATTATTACATTCATACAGTGGTGGATCCAGGGGGATGGAAAAGGGGGCATTTGCCCCCCCCCCCCCAATAACCGTAGTTTTCCTTTGTTTTACACTGTGTTTAGCCAATTTTGGAACTTTCATATACTTTTGAGCCCCCCATGCCCCTCCCAAAATTAAGCCCTGGATCCGCCACTGCATTCATATATATTTTTATGCCCGATGTGTTGGTGAAATCTGAATTTACTAATTCTACTTACTATTTATTTACAATTACAAAAAAAGTAAGTAAGATAGGTAAATTATTATTTGCACCAACACGTTGAACATATAAATATCAACATTTAAAAAAAAATGTAAATCCTTAGTATGATTTTTCCAAAAATAGTACCACTATTATATCATGCATTAATGTATCAATAATATTCTATTCTTTGGTAATATTGAAATTTATACATTATTGTAGGCATGTAACCTATTATTTAAACTGTTTTATAAATTATACTTTATAGGTATTTAATAGTATTAGGTATATAATAAACAATTTGATTTGTAGGTTACAGTATAAATAGAAAATTAATTTCAATATAAAACACCACATTAAAAAAAAGATAGGTATATTCTGATTTAATCAACACGTTGAGCATAAAAATACTAAAATACTAAAAATTCCGAAAATTGCTTCGGAAGTAAAGAGCTATAATATTTGTTCGTATACTGCATACTAATTATTATAATTATTAATTACTAATTATTTAAAGAACCGACCTTCTTAGCGCTTCCGGTGAACGTTTTTCGCATTAAATGCCGTCAAATTACTACTCACTTTCATGTCTCATCACATCTCAATCTACATCATGCTATAATAAGATTATAAGCACTCGTTATCACCGCGGTATCGCTTGTGGTTCGCTTAAAGTTGGACAACATAAAATCATCGTGCACTGTACATCGAGCACTCAATGTTTACATAATATTCATTATATAAAACTGTATTATAATATTTTTTTAAAAACTTTGTTATTTTGTAAGAAAACTTGAGCCCGCAGGAGGGGCAGCTGCCCACCCTGCCCCTCCCGTGCGCACGCCTATGCATTATGCCATAGCCCACAGACATAGGCGTGACTAGACTTCATCGGCAGGGGCAGCCTTAGCTTTTTTTTTATAGCTTATAACAGGCGCTACCTTATTAGTGAACTAAAAAAAGCCCTATACACCCAAAGCCGTATTTTTTAAGCCCCCCCCCTCCACAATGAAATATTTATATAATTTGAAGAAAGTCTAAATTATCTATTTACAATAATAATCTACTGTAACCTCAGAAATATTATTCATCTACAGCCTTGGATTACACCACCTAACTACAAATCAAAAATAATACAACAATAATATCAATAATACCTAGATGCTTACTGTTCCGTCGTCGTCTGTTTCAAGTCTTTATAGTAGGTTTTTCCGATTTTGAGAGTCAGAAAATCAATCTTTGTAAGTAAATGGTTGTAACCCTTCTGACTTAAAACTCGGTTGACCGGCAGCTTGCGAAAATTGAAGGGCCACCGTAGACACGCCTATGCCCACAGATTTCTACACTATATTGCTATGTACATTTCAATTTCTTAGCACATCAGATACAGCGATGGCGAGTGCCTCCGTGGCACTAAAATATTAAATATTATTTCGTATTGATTTTTAACCAGTGCTTCATTACGAAAACGAAAAATACCGAAATACTGAATAATAAAATAGTATAATTGATATAGGTACCTATTGTCCATAACACGGTTTTAGAAGATAAGGATACATTTTTTTGAACATAATAAACTATGGCGGCGCTGTCGACGTAATATGCAAATAGTTCCGGCAGCGTCGAAGCTAGTTCGAACTAAGCCCATGCCCCGTCTATTAGTATAAGGTCTATGGCACCAGTGCGGTATGGTGGAAAACGCTATTAGGCACTTATTTAACAGCTTTTTTTTTGGTACTCCATCTTACAGTTTATATAAAATATAAATTGTGTAAGATCGAAACTACTAACCTCTATTCTATATTTCTATGTACTAATCATACGCCAATGTGGCAATGTATATTGTTATTCTATCTATTCGTTATATAATCGCTTTTATGAATTCGTATAGAATTCAAAGCTGATACTAAATAATAATGTATTATTTTTTTTTTATTTAGAAAAATCAATTATACATTTTGATTTATATTTTAATATGTTACCGTAAATGCCCGATCACTAGGTAAACCTAGGTTTTACTAGTTAATGCTAGGTTTTACTGTCTGTACTCAGTAAATGCTGAAATTCTAAATTTTATTCGGGCTTTTACTAAACACGTTGTGTACATCCTAGGATATACAAATTGACTTAGTAAAAGCTGATCATTACACGACACATAACATTTAAGCTGCGTAAAAAATATAATTATATAGTATTAAAACAAACTACTGACAGTTATTTAAATTCTTTATACAAAATAAAAATCATTTAAAAACAGAATCATTAAAAATTAATAAAAAATGTTTTTTTCTTCATAAAAATTAGTAAAATTGGTGGGTAGTTAGAAATAATTATTTAAAATTTTTATTTATTTGCACATGTACTATTATGGCACCTGCTATTACATAATACATTTGACTGGCGGCATTTGCATTTTTTAGTTGTACATTTTTTCTGACAATCACACCTCAAAACTCCTTGCCAGCCTGATAGTGAAAGTTGAGCAACAGCTTGGCGTATGTTTGTTATTGTTGTATTTGGAACATCGGATATTGAAATAAATTTAAAAACCCAAATAGACTGAACAGTGAACATGTACCTAATAAAATCATATCTAAGCGATAAAGTATCCATTAGTGCCACCAATCAATTGATATCAGTCAGCTATTACTAAGTTATATCATGATATAAGTTGTATAATATTAATCTTAAACCCGATAAAATGCAAGTCCCTGCAACACATTGAAGTCGTAAATTTATCTTCGCAAAATAATTGTTATTAATCGTTGCAAGCAAAAATGTTAGAGGTGTGATTACAACTTAAGATGCATTTTTATTTTGTATAAAGAATTTAAATAACTGTCAGTACCTACCTTTTTAGTTTGTTTTAATAATATATAATTATAATTTTTACGCAGCTTAAATGTTATGTGTCGTGTATTGATCAGCTTTTACAGTTTTACTAAGTCAATTTGTATATCCTAGGATGTACACGGTTCCATGTCATATCTTCGAAATAATATCTTCGGTCAAAATATCTTGAACAAAATATCTTTTGTGAAAATATCTTATGACAAAAATGTATTCGGTTAAAATATCTTTTAAACTGATTTTTTAAAAATGTTTATTCATATTATTTATTTATTTTATTTTTATAAATATATCGTGTAACTACAACATTATTTATAATAGTTGTTTAATAATATAGTGTTAGTAATTAGTATGATCCTTATAAAAATATTATTGTAAAAAAAACATAGAAAAAATTATAGTTGAAAAATTACTATAAAAAACTATTATTGTAATTAAATAAATAAATTAAATAATATGAAATATATAAATACCACTTGTAACACATTTGCTCACAATCATAGTCTTCCGACGTATATTTGAGTATATAGAGATTAATTGATTACATGAATATAAATTAAAAAATTAGCTTAAAAAATATTTTGACTAAAGACATTTTGACTAAAATATTTTGACTAAAGATATTATTTCGAAGATATTTTGACCGGTCACCGATGTATACACAACGTGTTTAGTAAAAGCCCGTATAAAATTTAGAATTTCAGCATTTACTGAGTACAAACAGTAAAACCTAGCATTAACTAGTAAAACCTAGGTTTACCTAGTGATCGGGCATTTACGGTGACAAATACATATATACCACAACAATTTACATTTACAGATTAAATATTTTAATTAGTTACAGATTTGATTAAGATGACGTTGCACCCACAATTGTCTCTCCGTCTTACAAATGTACAACAGAGCAAAAACTGTTTTGCGAGGGAAAGAAAAGAGAGTCATAACTAAGAAACGAAATTTTCACCACATAAAAAGGAGAGCTATGGCTGTGCAATATCGTTTTTATTTTTCTCGTTATCGGAACTTCAAAAAAAGTTATTTAAGTGTGAAAAACACA